TTTATATACTGTATAAGTTGGAAAGGCCTTATTTATGATCTCTAAGTGCATTTCATTCTCCAGATAAAACTATTCTTTTTAAAACAAAGTGTTTCTAATTTAAGTTAGAAATTATTATAAAGGAATGCTATGAACTTGACAAAGTAAAGCAAAAAAGGTATCAGTTATGAAAATATATGTATGTGTATATATGTATATGTGTGTATATGTGTGTATATATGTATATGTGTGTATATGTGTGCAGATATGTATATATATGTGTATATATGTATATATGTGTGTGTACACACACACACACCATATGTCCTAAGTACTTAGTACTTTAATTTTGGTTCATTATTGTCTTAAATTAGCATGACTGTAGTTTCTTCTTATTGAATAGGCAAATTATATCTAGATTATAGCTATCTTCATGTAATGTCTATTTCAGAATTTCTGAGTTTTCTTTCATATCCTTTAGGATTCATTTGACAATCGGAATATCACTGAAAAAAGTCATTAATATTAATTTCCTTTTCTGAGTAATACAAGCTTGGCTTGGTGAATTAGTGGTTCGTAGCAGAATAAAATTTGACCACATGTTAACTAATACCCCTAACTGAGCCACCTTAAAATTTTCCATTTAGACTTTGCTTTATTTTTGAGGTGAAAATTAAGTATTTAATTAATTTCTCAAAATAATGAAGTTTACTGCATAATACAATAAATTCAAGTCGTATGCAGCCCCACCAGATTTTTGGTACAAGGACTGAAATTTGGTTTTGGTTGACTGTATTTTAGTTTTATCATTTGGCCCTCCCTGGTGGCACAGTGGGTTAAAGTACAGCACTGCAAGCAAGTCTCAACCACTTCTGTGCGAGTTTAATCCATGGCCCCAGAGGTGATCCACAATTGGTGCAGGAGATTGTTCCTGTCTTGCCCGCTGCTCCCCTCAGCAGTGTACTTAATCAGTCTGCCTGTTTTGCTCCCCACTCTATATCTCTTAAATCCTTTCACCGCCCCGGCCCCTCTGGCCTGTACCCTAGTTCTGTATGCATAAATAAATTTTTTTTAAAAAAGTTTATAATTTAAGCTATTAACTTCACGAACTCCATTGTGTCTTCCACACATAGGGGTGAAGATAATTTTATTCCTTTAGTATATCGCCAATTAAAGTTTCTTAAAGCTACAGCTGGATAACTCATTAAATTTACTGGAGTCACTGTATTGTAGAATTATCCTGATCTTGAAGAAAATTACAGCTACCATACCATTTATTACACACCTCTCAAACTTCTGCACTAAAGATGACAACACAAGAAACATAGGGGCTAAAGTTTTTGAAGGTCTTGGTAGTGAGTAATCAAAAGTATAGTTAACAATGCTAGAAATAAGTAGGCTGCTTGGTGATCTTACTGAGATTTCATGCATTCTATATCTCCTCCCTCACCCTCCGTTTCTAATCTTATAAAAATTGAGAAGAACTAGAAATTCGTAGAATTTTCTAGAACAATTACCTGCTACTGTGAACTTTCACCCTAGCAGTTCTCTATGATGTCCCAAAATAATGAAAGGAGGATCCTCAGTCAGATCTGACTATTTTGAGAGCAAGAACATCTTCTTCCTCCGATGGCAGTACTAACATGGGTATTTCTGATTTCTCGATATCGAAACATGCTTGAAATAACAGATTTGTGATTTTATAAGTCAGTGAGTTCTTTAATAACTATGGTAGCTTTTTAAGCCTTTAATATGAAAAATACATCCAGTTTATTCAATTATTCATGGTATAGATAGTATATTTACCTTTTTTCCAGAAAAGACCAAAATCATTATCTGACAGAGAAATTATACTGCACATATGTCTATAGCTATTTCCTCCCAAGATTAGCTCCAACATAGGGCTCTCCTTGAATGTCAAGTATAATATATTTTATGGAAATTCTATTCAAGTCATGACATAAAGTAATTAAAGAGGTAGGCTAGTAATAAAAGTGTAAACCTTGTCCATAGCAGTGAAATTGCACATTAATTCTTAGCAAATGTTTTTTGTTCAATGGCCACTGTGGGAAATATTACTTATATCATTTGATAAATAAAATCAGTATAGACTTGTATGTCTCTTGTTTTCAAGATACTGCTGATCTCATTGCCTTATGTTTGTGACTCATGGTATTTAGTTAACCCAGATTATGTTAAATGAATGTATTATGTACATTATGCATAAATTTCAGAAGGTAGAATTTTTATGGGCAATGTTTAAAAGCACCATTTTTTCCTATTCTGTAATAAAGGCACATCTTAATTATATAAAGATGTATAGTAAAGGCTGGCTTAGTTATATATCAGTGCAGTAAAGCTAGTATTGCAGTAACATGAGTTATAAGAATTTTTTTTGGTTTTCCAGTGCATAATTTATAAAAGTTATGTTTGCATTATATAGTCTATTAATTGCAAAAACATTATGTCTTAAAGAATGTTCCTGGGCCCTACCTGGTGGCACAGCGGGTTAAAGCACAGCACTAATAAGCTAAAGCTACTTCAGCATTTGTTCAATCCCTGCCTGCCCCACAGGTGACCCACATGGTGCAGCAGACCTCTCATGACCCACCCACTGCTCCCCTCATCAGTGTACCTTGTCGAACTGCCTATTCTGCTCTTAACTCTATCTCTGGTGAATCCTCTCACCACCTCTGCTCCACTGGCCTGCACCCCAGTTCTGTATGCATAAATAAATAAATCTTTAAAAAAAATGTTCATACCTCAATTTAAAAATATTTTATTGCTAAAAGGTACTAACCATCATCTGAGCCTGTTTGAAAATTGACATAAGTAGACTTGCTTAATGCTGGGTGGCCACTAATATTCAATTTATTAATTTTTAAAAAGATTTATGTGTACAAGAACTTGGGTGTAAGCCAGAGTTGTGGGATTCACCAGAGGCAGAATGGGGAGCAGAACAGGCAGACAGACGGAGATACACCACTGAGGGGAGCAATGGGAGGTCAGGAGAGGTCTGCCAGCATGTATGTGGGTCAGCTCCCTGATGGGAGATCAAACTTGTGCAGTAGCCACATAGCTTGATAGCTCTGTGTCTTTAATTCCTATGTACTAGGGAAGTCTTCTAGAGTATTTTAATAGGTTAAAAGAAGTTCTTTTTTTTTTCTTTTTTGGCGTCCTTCATTAATACTTCTAATATTTGGAACATTGATAGTTTTCCCCTTTTGTGTATATTATTTTATAAAAGGTTCTATGACTGTGTTAGATATTAAAGTGAATTAGTCAGGTTTTCATGTGTATATGCTAATGGTAAATTATTTGGGTAAACTATGGTATTAAAGTTATACCACTAATTACAACTTATTTGATAATCACAGAGATAAAATTTTAAAATAAAAAATTGAAAATACATTACTAAATCCTAATAAAATTTTGATCTAGATTTTGTTCAAAGACCCTATGATTTTGACCAGGAGTAATTTGATAAGTTAGGGTATGTCTCTTAAAATTGCTAATGTAATATCTCAAAGCCTACAAAATAAAATGAACTAAGGCATTGATTTGTATTTTTATTTTATAAGCTTGATACTATCTAACTTACTTGTTATGAAAATAAAGGTGACCCGCAAATTCTGAGAAAAAACTATTAGATTTTATTACTAAAGGCATAATTTCTATGTGTAGTCCATCTGAGGTAAGCTAAGCCCATATAACAAGCTTCCATATATTTTTCTTTTTAGAGCAAAGAAAGCAAAAAATTCAATTGATAAGTCAACTGAAACTGACAATGGCTATGTGTCTCTTGATGGGAAAAAAACTGTTAAAAGCAGTGAGGATGGAGTACAAAACTATGAGCCTGCATGCGAAACTATTCGGCCAGAAGATAAAACATGGAACACAGGGACACTGAGGAACATTTCAAGCAAAGTAAGTGTGTTTTTAAAAATAGTTTGCTTGTATGATTTTTACATTAGGTAACAGGAAGTGATTTAGATAAAATAGTTGCCCTTGAATTACATATTTCTCCATAATTATGTGAATCTTTACAAATTTCATTTATGAAGCTGAAAGTCAAATAAATTTAATTGCCAGTATAAATGAACACCTAAATGAACCAATAGTTGGTTCTAATTTTTCTAAAATGCTAAAGCACTTTATAAAACTTACTTGATGTTCATTAACCTTCCTTCCCCATTTCCACATGTGTGTAAGAATTTGTTTTAAATGGAACATTTATTCTAGAAACTGAACTAGGAAATTGGTTTTCTAGTCATGTTCTCAATAACAAAATGCTCCTTATTTTTCTTACTATCATTGTCTTTGACACCAACACATTTGCTTTTAATCTTATTGAGGTCATACTTAAGGATAACAATTGTTCACTTTCTTTTCCAAAATAATAAGGAACCCTTGGTTTATTATAACAAAACCTAATACATTGTTTTCTATCAATTTTGCTGAAAGTTGTTACAGGAAAAAAAGTCAACCTAGACATTACATATCTCTCTTACATCAGGAATGTAACCATGAACAATTATGTTGAAGAAAAGAAAGTATTCTTTAATTTCAAGTGAAGGATTAAAGTGTGTGTTACTGCCTAACAGTACATGAATTTTACAGATCTAGTATGTAAATCTATATGACAACACAGAGCTGCAATGCATTATAGTCCCTTACTCTGATTTAAGGTTTTTCCAGCATTTAGCTACCTGGTAATGTGAACCTCTTACCACTGTTTTTCACCCAGCAAATAAGTTTTCTGTCAGCAGCTTTCAAACACATTTCAGGTAGGTAATACCTACTAAAATTATGTGAGTGGAACATTAAAATATCAGTAACATTGTGGCCTGGAGTCTCTCACTTTCATGATTGGGAAGTTGGGTATCTCGTTCAAGTTGGTATGTATCTGCTGTGTGCACACATCCAATTACTGTTCCCCTTCTCTTGCTTCACAAACCACCATTAAATCAGTTACATTTAAAAATGTAACTGGTGGAAAAAAAAGTGGTATTTTTGGTTTTTAAAAATTGTATAATTAGTAATCTCAGGTCTCTCAACTATTTTGCTTCTATTGTATTTTATATATACGTATATATATATATTTTTTATTTTTATTTATTTTTTTAAAGATATATTTATTTGTGCATACAGACCTGGGGTACAGGCCAGAGGCTCAGGGGTGGTGAGAGGCTTCACCAGAGACAAAATGGGGAACAGAACAGGCAGATCGACGAAGTACACTGCTGAGGGGAGCAGGGGGCAGGTCAAGAGAGGTCTGCCACACCGCGTGGTTATCTCCCGGGGATTGCGGGAATCGAACTCATGCGGAAGTGGCTTTAGATTCTCAGTGCTGTGTTTTAACCCGCTGCGCCACTGGGGAGGGCCGTATTTTATATATTTTTAATTGTGTAAGCTATTTCAAATACTTTCGTGAAAAGAAAAGGTATATGACAATATTTGACCAATACTATTGAATTATTTTTTTAATTAAAATAGCAGTATAGCCACTAATTTAAGATTTAGTTTTTAGAAAATAAGATAGTACTAAGCAATTACTTTGAGGTATTTGAATGTGTGTGTGTGTGTGCTTACATGTAAGTATAATTTAGACCTTGTAGGTTAAAAACAGCAAGATTAGTTAGAAATTACCGTAATCTCCTTGTATACTCCCAATGTAGGATACCCAAAGGACAATAACAAATATCTCTGATGAAGTCTCCAGTGAAGACGGACCTGAAACAGGATACCCATTACGCCGTCATGTGGACAGGACTGAGAGCATGCTTCGGAATAGAAAGTCACACCATTATAAGAAACATTATCCTAGTGAGGTATACACTTTGACTTTATATTATAGACATACCTATTTTATGTTATTTCTCAATGATTAAGTAGTATTACTAAAATAACCAATATTACCCACCAGTAACAGTTATCTTTTACTTGATCTGGATTTATAGAGTAGCAGGTTCAGATATTTGTATTTTGTGCCTGTTAAATAGCCAAATATTTATACCAATTTTACATATTTATTGTCTCTGAAGACTCAAGCATTCACTTTTTTCTTTCTCTTTTAAAGACCGTTATCCTGGACAGAAAATCTGTGAACTGTATTAATATTCTCCACAATTTAAAAGACTTTATAACTTTGTGATTATAGGGAAGGTGTTATTTTAAGTGACTCACTTCACATTACTGTTACCAGCTTAATAGGTGTCCATATTATGTGACAGGCTTTTGATTCCATTTTTTACTTTTTTTTCTCTAAGTCCTTTTATAACTATGACATCTCTTGAAAGTGTTTTAATTGGAAAAGGAATTTGATTCATTTATATTTTCAGTTTTCATTATAAGGCCAAAACATTTTAGTACCTCATGTCCGGCAAATAAATTATTCCTTACATCACATTTTAAATAGACACTAACAATTACTTTTTGTTAAATCGTATTAGAATTTTTTAATTAATGATTTAAACTTTTGAAAAATCAAGTATTCTGTGCTGACATTAGCTTAGAAGAGTTACTTATTTTTTGTACACCTTTCCTGTGTCTGTATTTCTGGTTAATCTTTCTGCTATGTCTGCCATTTCTCTGTTTTTCTTTAGGTACATATTAATGCTAGTGTGTCTTCTAATTGCCTCTTTACCCAGATCACCTGATGTACTATCCCCTGTTCTTAAATTAGTCAAGTATGTGAAATTCAGTCTTTATGGTATATACTATTAAAAGTTAGTTTGGTCCTGGAATGGGATTCACAATCTCCTACAAAAAGAGATCTTCATTTTCCTGTGGAATAAATTACTTTGCTTTAAAAGTACATTTTACCTTGTGATCTCCTGTCTTGGTTTGTAGGTACATTTTTGAACCTTTGAGATTTTTTTTTTCAGATTTATTTATGCATACAAGAACTGGCATACAGGCCAGAGGTGAAAGAGGTGAGAGGCTTCACCAGAGACAGAGTGGGGAGCAGAACAGGCAGACTGACGAAGTACACTGCTGAGGGGAGTAGTGGACGTGTCAGGAGAGGTCTTTCATGCCATATGGATCACAGTCCTGGCCAGGAATCAAATTTGTGTTATAGTGGCTGTGGATTGCTTCATAGTGCTGTGCTTTTTAACTCTTTGCTCCACCAGGGAGGACCTACTGAGATTCTTAAAAGGCCGAGCATTATTCTTAACTACTATGAAATAATTATGTTGCTTAAAATTTTTTATTTCATGCTAATAGTCATAACTAGCTATTTAATAGGTTTTGGTGGTTGTTTTTTTTTTTTTTTAAGATTTATTTATTCATACAGAACTGGGGTACAGGCCAGAGATGCGGAAGGTGAGAGGATTTACCAGGGACAGAGTGGGGAGCAGAACAGGCAGATCGACGAAGTACACTGCTGAGGGGAGCAGCAGGCGAGTCAGGAGAGGACTGCCATGCCATGTGGTCTCCTCCGGGGCAGGCTGGGATTGAACTCATGCGGAAGTGGCTTAAGCTTCTTAGTGCAGTGCTTTAGCCCGCTGTGCCACCAGGGAGGGCCGTAGGTTTTGGTTGTTTTAAATATTTTTTTAGTAATGTGAAAGATTACATAAATCTAAAATCTGGTCTTCAAATTCTTCATCTGTAAAGTGAAAAACTTTAGTTAGGCCTTAAGATATTTTAGTTAAAAAAGTTTTCTGATTCTCAAGTCAAAACCAAAGGGTATTATTTTAAAGGCAAAATAACAATTTTTCTTTAAAAGTTTCATTTGATAGCAATATATGGGACTGCTGTATCTTACTGTAAGATTATGTCAAGCACACCCAGCCATTTGTTTATAAGCGTTGCAAATGTCTAGATGGGCATTTAGAATCATCTGCTTTTTCAGCAAGAATCAATCATCCAATCTCCTAGTAGCATGGGAATGTTAGATACATTATGCCAGGCTGCCATGGTGTTGGCATCATGAGAGTTGGGGGTGATATGGTGATATTATTGTTCATTCCGTGTAAAGATTTTGTTGAATCCCTCCAAAACTACCGACTCCTGGTTTCTTGTCTTTTTCTACTATTTGGTACATTTGGTTGACTTGTTTCCTGCTGGGATTATTTGTTGCTTGATTATTTGCGATTTAGGTGGTATCCTGCAGAACTATAGCTTCCTTTAAAAATTTGGCTTGCTTTCCTACTCTGTCCAACTTTAAGTATCTTTCATTGCTATGCCCTCTTGTTGATTAGCTTTTCATTTAATGAAGGTAGCCCTTTTGTTAGTAACATAATGAAGAAACAATGGGCTTGGACTTAACACTAAGTGCATATAGGAAAACCATTTAAGTTCTCTAAAGATCAATTTATGCATCTATACCATGTGGAGAGAAGACCAGCCTCATCAGAATGTTAGTATTAAATGAAGTTATATATAATTGCATGGCACAAAACTTTTACATTAAAAATGCTTATTCCTCTTCAAATAGATAATCCTTCGTTTCTTGACTATTCAATTTTAGCAACTATCAAAAGATTTGAAACAAGAAAATAAAGTCAAATGAACTATTAACATGAGCTACTAGGAAATTATAAATTCCCTATCTTTGAGGCTTTCTGCAGCATTTTGTAGTGAAATTTAAAGTGGTCATTAATTACTAAATACTGTGGGTAAAATTCTGTTTGAAATGTAAGATGTTATTGGCAATGATTTTGTAGATTTTGCATTTGTAAAAATGACCCATTTATAAATTAGGATTTGGTAAAATACACTTATGAAGAATTATAGATACTTCTTTATCTCCAAAACTGCCCATTAGTTTAAGTGAAACAGCCATCAGACCTTTAATTCTGTTCCATATTTCCCTATTTGATTAACAATTTTGCTTTAGGAATTAAAAAACTAGCTTTATGTAAATTTCAAATTTTCAACTACTGAATACTGAATATTTTCTGTGCCTTGCTATCTAATGAAAACTGTTGAGAGGAAAATGGCACATGCCTTAAGTATTCTCTTTGACATTAGTCAATCTAAAATATTTTTGTATGCTTTTTTTAGTATGCTTTTTATAAAACAAATTGCTGATTTTTATCCTTTCTATTTTTCATTCATTTTTCTGCTCAGCTCTTTCAAAAAATGTTTACTTCTCCTCCCAAATTGTCCCACAAATACTCTATAAACATGCTAATATGTTTGTGGTGCCTGATTCCACTATCAGTTATCATTATCTTTTTTGAAATACTTTGTTAATCTGTGTTAACGATGACAAAAAAATGTAATATTTGCTTTTTGTCTTGTGGGTTTATAGTATATTTTAGCATTAGGATTTATTTGAGAATATGAAGTACTGATACAGAACATTTAATTAATATAGTAGTACAGATGTTGAATAATATTGTAAAATTTATCAGATATATGTGTGTGTGTGTGTATAGTAACTCATTTCAGGGTCACAGTGATCATTCTAAGTAGAATAGAAGGCTTTAAACATTTGTTGAGCTTCTGTGTTGAAGTAGGTTTGCATTAAAAGCTGCAGGTGCTCATTTAATTTTCAGTATCTCTTTAAATAGCTACTACTTTTATTTTCCCATTGGTAATAACTAAAGGCTCAGGAACTCACTAAATAGAAAGTGGTAGAGGTGGTATTTTCCTGACAACTTGCTGAGTAGATATTAAAGAGAATGGGATTACTAAAAAGAGGTACCCGCATTATGATAAGTTAGAGTAGAAAAGAACAAGATGTGTTGGGGGGTTTGAGTGTCCAGTGTCACTGCAGAAGAAAATAGGGTTAGAAGTCAGGAACAATATCAAAAAAAGAATATTTGAAGATAAACTTCTGGATGAAGAAATTTGAACCAAAAGTACAAAAATATTTTGACAATAGAAGTAAAAGAATAGTTGTGATTCAGGAAGCTTAATTGGGTAGATGGAGCAGGCAATTCAGGTCGGGTCAGTTAGGAGGGCTCAAAAACAAGGTGTGAATGAGGTGTCTGTACTGTGATACTAGATAAAAAGTAAATTGATTAGAAATTATTCAATTTGTACCTCTTAGTTTGTTGCTTTTATACCAGAGATTGTCACAAAATTATATTAACAATTGTCTTAATTGGTTTAGGTTATTTGGTAGTTTTATGTCAATTTATTAAACCTTTCTTTTTAAGAATTACTTTTATTTACTTATGTATTCAAGAACTGAGGTATAAATCAGAAGTGCAGGGGGGAGAGGATTCACCAGAGACCATATGGGAAGCAGAACAGATGAGCCTACTGAGATAGACTGCTGAGGAGAGCAGGGGCGAGACAGGAGAGGTCTGCCAAGCCATGTGGGTCACACCTCCCTGGCCGGGGATCACATTCATGCTGCAGTGGCTACTAATAGTGCTGAGACTTAAGCCACCACTGAACACCTTATGCCACCAGTGCTGAGACCTAACACCTTGTGCCATCAAGGAAACTCCTTGAGCTTGTTTTTGAAAGGCATATGTGTTACTGCTCAAAACAAAGTAGAATAAGAAATTAACTCTATTGAACAACCTCAATTAAAATGTGTTAATATTCACTGACTATACAGTCTATGAATTTAGGCTAGTCTTTGACTACTTGAATTCTGAACTTTTTAAACAGTTGAGCGGAAAACCTATGCATGCAAAGTCACTGTTTCACTGAGGTGTGAAATCACATCAATTTTGATATAAGAAAATTTTTGTAACTCCTTAAATCTAGTGTTTATTTTTAATGTTTTGCTATCTACCTCACTGTCTTTTGACAGTGTATTTGTTGTTTTAGCAAAAAGCAGCAATATATGGTTCTGATAGAATCCTTTGAGTTGCAAAGGGTACATAAATTGTATTAATGTCAAAGAATATCTTGATTTCAGGATGCCCCTAAATCTGGTACTAGTTGCAGCTCTCGCTGTTCAAGTTCCAGACAGGATTCTGAGAGCACAAGGCCAGAATCTGAAACAGAAGATGTATTATGGGAAGACTTGTTACATTGTGCAGAATGCCGTTCATCCTGTACCAGTGAGACAGATGTGGAAAATCCTCAGATTAATCCATGTGTGAAAAAAGAATATAGAGACGACCCTTTTCATCAGGTTGGTTTATAGTATTGGATTATGTGGGGTATCAGACCAGCTCCTTTGAATGTATGTACAAATTTTACAGAAGTGAAGACAAAGCTTAAATCCAATTGAAGTAGCATTACTGTAAAAAAAAAATTTCCTTTTATGAGAGCTGTGATCTGGCTTTGTTGAAACACAGAATCTTACTATCTATGTTATGGTTGTGTCTCCCACCTTGAGAAGATAAGTTCCTGAAAAGTTGTTGGTTGTATGGCATTTCATGAGTCAATTGTGTTTTAGATGCATCTGTCTGTTCTTACTTAACTTATTTTGTGCTTAGATTCATCTACATTGTGATTGTAACTCTCTCTACATTTTATGAATAGCACAGTTGTATTTCCAAATACCTGTTGTAATGCTGTCCAACAGTCACATAGGTTATGCTGAATCAAAGTTTTAACACAGTAATTTTAATGTAAAATATTACCCCTTGAACACAAAAAAAAAAACATTAAAAATAGTCTACTTTTTTAAATACATAATTTTCAAATTCCAACGTGAACATACAACACATCTCATTTCAAATAGCCATGTTTTCGAAGTTCAGTAGACACATGAGCTATTGAAAGTAAACATTGCATAGTGCAAAAAATAGTCTACTTTTTTAAATACATAATTTTCAAATTCCAACGTGAACATACAACACATCTCATTTCAAATAGCCATGTTTTCGAAGTTCAGTAGACACATGAGCTATTGAAAGTAAACATTGCATAGTGCAGGCCTATGAATATCTTCATTTGAATGTCCCACTAGTACTTCAAAGGTAGCCAAACTCTCTTTTCTCTCTTGTAGATCTGTTTTTCTTATGGCACTCAAAACTGATAAATGATACCTCACCAGTCCAGAAACGTTGTGATAATTTAAAATCTTTTCTTCATCCTTCTTAGTTCTCTTATCCAAATTCTTATAAAGTCCTAATAACAAGTAAACCATTAGAAAAATAGAGATAGAGACCCTTCTTAGCTTATGAAGGAACTATCAAAGGAATCTTATGAAAACTGATATTTAATGTCATAATTTTAGGAATAATGAGATGTGCTATGTGTTCTTTTAAAGGCAGAAATAAGACACGTACACATCCATTACAGATTTTTTTCCTACCAAAATCTCAGTCTTTTTGTTTTCAGTTAGACTGAGGATGATTTCAAATCCACATTAAAGAGGAAAATGTCAAAGGAACACAAACAGTTTTGAAGGACAAGCTTGCTGGATAAAGGAATTTGAAGTATATTTAGTGGATATCAAAATTTTTATTAAAGGCATAGTAATTAAGATAGCATGATGTAGGTATATGCTAATAGACTGAATGTCTGTGTCTCCTCTTCCTAAATTCTTACGTTGAAGTTTAATCACAAACTATGAGAATATTTAGAAGTGGGGCCTTTGGGAGGTGATCAGGTCATGAGGATGGCGACCTCATCAACAGGAATCAAGCCCTTATAAAAGAGGCCTCAGCAAGCTCTCTTGCCACTGCCAACATGTAAAGTTGAAGTGAAATGAGGGCAGCTGTGAAGCAGGAAGCAGTGCCTTGCTAGACTCCCAGTCTACCACTACCCTTCATTGTCTCAGCCTCTTATGAGAAAGAAATTTCAGTTTTTCTAATCCACTCTGGTCATAGTATTTTTGTTATAGCTGTCACATATAAATAAATGTACCAGTGGGGCAGATTAGCAAGTTCTTAGGATTCTGGAAAGGAAGCATACTTACGAAGCTTAGCTTTCAATAGAACAGCACACCTGATGAGAAAGGAGGAGAAAATACATAAAGCAAGTCAGAGTAAAAAAAAAGCACTGCCGGGCATTCTCTGCTCTGTAAAGAGCAGTATTCCAAGGCTCTACTAAGAAAAAGGGAGATGACAATATCAAGGGTTTGTGGATGGTGGTGAGCATGTATTTAAGGCAGTAACCACATACAAATAAAAAAGACCCTCACTGTTGAGGGTCTGAAACCACGAACTTGTAGTTCCTGCTCCACATAGGTGTGTCACATTGTCTGGAATATAGTTCTAGAAATCATAATGAACATTTAATAAGCATTTACTATATACCAGGCACTGTGAAAAGTGACTTGGATGTAGAACCTTATGCAATCCTCATAATCTGTGAGTGTTTTTTTCAAGATGAGAAATTTGGGGCTCATGATGAATGCACAGATAGTGATAGTGTGAGTGCGTACTCACCAGTTGCTATTCAAGGGATAGTAGAGGAGATGGCTTGATAGAAGTCATGATCTGGTGAACTAGATATGTTCACCAGATTGAGTAGGGAATGAATAACAAGGGACTGATAGATCAAAGGTAGGCATGTTCAAGGAGAAAAAAGATGATTTGGAATTGGTTTGAGGGAAATAATTTTGTAAGACACAAGTTGTAGTTTAACACTAATTTCAAAAACTGCAATTCTGTGTGGTGTCAAGATTCATAGTAGTTGCTGAAGTTTCTTAGAATTTATGAAAAAATCAATAATCAATACATGAGAATAGGGTGTTGAATGAATGTCATTTTTACTCAGGATAATAACTGGACTTGAGATTTGGGGAAATGCCTATTGGCTGTTTACCTTGTGACATAGCAGTATAGAAGCAGTGAACATGGATTCCTTTAGCTCTTTGTTGTATCACCTAGTGACTGGTACATTGGAGGTGTGTAATAAATATTAGTTGAATGATTGCATGAAACAAAATAGGAAATTTTCAAAGCTTGCTAATGTGGCCTTTCAATGATTATTTTAGAAATTGTTTCATATTATGAATGTTATACAGAATAAATTGACCCTAAATCTGTCACATCACTTGTTTCCCTTTATTGTAAAATAGTCTGATATTCTTTTCTGCATATTTAATTGTAGCATACTAAGCTTACTGAATTTGTTTTTGGATTATTCTTATTCTCAAGGCATGTAAATAAAATGAAGTCATATTTTCAGTTATGCTAGTAACCCATAATGGAAATAGGCTCTCTTTACCATAAAATACCAATTTTCTTTTTTTGTTTGACCAAGTTCTGGGTTAGAGGTGAAAGACTTTTTTCTGCCAACTGGAAAAAAATCCTTCCTCATGAAGACACACTGTGCTTCTGAATCAGTGTGTTCTGCTCATGTTTGCTTAATTTTGTTGTATACATTTGTACAGGAGAAATGTTTTCTCCTTTCATTGCTGAGGAGGACATAAAAAATATATAAAGCCATATTTAAGTGAGCTTCATTTTAAAGTACATGAAGTCAGATTTGGATGACTTACAGTTCCCTCAGTAGAAAACGCTAGTAAAGTGATTTTTGTGGTGAATTTATTTGAAATAAAACACACCACCATTTAAGTATTAAAGTTCAGGTGACTTTGAAGAAGTTGAAAGCAATTATGATTGGAATGAAGCTATATAGTGATGACTAAAAGAGTTCCAGATTTTATTGTGAACACCATTCTAAGAAGAACCTGTATGATAAAATTACAAAATAGAATTTGTTCTGATGTTTTCCTTAGAAAAAAAAGTATGTAATGCAATGCTGCTCTCCATACACTGCAGCATTGTATGTTTCAACAAGACCAACACATGCATAAAGAAGTCTTTTAAGCAACTCTAAATTCAACAGTTTCTAGTTACTTTTTCTCTTTGCCTTTTCTTTTGATTTTCTAGAAACAGGAAACGATACCAAATTTTAGTTAGAGGAACTGGGAAGGTAGCTGGATAAATTTGTATAAACAGAAGGGCAGCAAAGAACTTGAGTTTTGTTCTTTTTTTGTTTCTAGTGAATCAGTATAATATGCCTTGCTTTATATTATTGGCAAAACTTTTAGTTCATTGTTAGAGATTTAAATAGTCTAGAAATCAGTGGTTGAAATGTTATTACCTTTTAGGCATAACACTTTTTCCATTCACTTTTTTGTACTTGTAGCTTTTTAGTACCACTGTGTTTCACTGTTAACTAGATTTCCAGGGAAAGTTTGGCATATTTTGGTTTAAATTATTTGTATGCCAAACTAGAGGTATTTGTTAGGATAACTTATTAACCATCCTTAATTTCTAATAAATTGTATCTCATAACTCTTAAGACAATTCAGTAGTGATACATCTACTATGAAGATTAATGTATATTAAAATACTATATCTTTGGAAAAGATAAATTTTAGGTGGAATCTTTTCATAGTTAAACTAAACATAAGATTTGCCAGTAGCATGACTGTTGTCATTATGGTTGCCTGTAATTGTGCATCAGTGTTTATTCTTACATAATAAACATGACACATATAGCTTTACACAAAGAAAAGAAATCAGAATAATTTCCCTTATGTTTTCTTACATATTTTTGAATTGTTCACTTTATACCATTACTTGAAATGAGCCAATGCAACTTTACTCCTCCTAGAGCAAAATTTTATATTCCTTAAGTTTACGGAAACATTTATCATATTTTAATCAGTTTTGTCCTTAAAGAATAAATATAACTATAATAGACTCTTTTGTTCACTGTAAGAAATTATTTTAATGAAATGTTACAAAATTTTGTTAGAAATACTGTAATGTGAACAAATATATCCTATCCTGGGTTTCAAATGTTCTGTCAACTTTGTTAATACAAAGTTTAGTGTTTCATTTATTTTATTGCTCTTTAATCCCCAAATACATTATTTTGAAGCTTTATTCTTTGCATTATAGATCTAAGACAATCATGACATCCAAAAAGTCTGAAGGATCTGGTCTTTTTGTCCTAAAACTTTCAATTTTTCTTTTATATTTTTTGCTCCATGAAGCAGTCAGAAATACTTTATTCTGCTTGGGAGAGTAGTGCTAATTCAGTGTGCTATAATTTGCAGTATTTGTTATAGCTGGGGAAAAAAAGGTAAATTGACTCTTTACTATCAAATGTTAAGGATAGAAAAGTACTATCAAATATTAAGGATAGGAAAGTAAGAGTCTCTTTTTGATGAGATTATATCACCAGTCTTTCACAGAGGTTTAAATCTCAGCTGTCACTCTTTTTGTATTGAATGATCATAAGTTGGATTATCAGTAATATAAGCAGCTTGATAACTCTTTGCCTTTGAACTTATTAATAGCTATGTAAACAAATTGACAACTGTATTCTACTGTCAGCTCTCCAATGTATATACTCATAATATTAATAGAATTTTAGTGTCACTGAAGTTGTATAGATATAACTGAATATATGAAGAATATAGATATAACTGTATTTTATAAGTAGAATATATAGTTCAACAATTTCTATTTAGTTAAAATTGTGTGTATGGCGATATACAGAATTTTATTTACACTTAACTAGTTTTTATGAAATGTGATACATGTATTTACCAGTTTATATTTATTTTTTTGTAGAGTCATTTACCTTGGCTCCATAGTTCCCACCCAGGATTAGAAAAAATAAGTGCTATTGTATGGGAAGGCAATGACTGTAAGAAAGCAGACATGTCTGTACTTGAAATCAGTGGAATGATAATGAACAGAGTGAGTTTTTAAATTTTATTCTTTTGGCTCAAGTTTTTAGTTAATATAAAATAATTGTTATGCTTATAACCTAACCATCTCATTTCTTTAAACTGAAAAGATTTGTGTATATTTGACTCCTTTTGTGATTTAAACAGTGATTTGCCACCAAACTGTTCTCAGCTTACAATCCTTTTATTCTTTTGACCAAATAGATGATTTGTAAGCTATAAATTGTCCTCTTTCATTTTACTGCTTTTTTATTTTCCAGTAGATCAAACAGTAGAGCTGCTGGATATGTAAATGTTAGGATTTATTTTTCTGTATCATCCCCCCCGTTTATCAGTTTCCAAAATACTTAAAAAAATCCAAACTAGAAAATGTATGTTCAGATTTGGTTACCTACTTAAATATATAAGCATAATGCAGCTAATGGTAAAATTTGTGAAAGGTTTGAAGTAAAATATGAATACTGTGGATTTTAACTTCAGGGCTTATTGTTTCCTCAAATCATTACTGCCTTTTAAATTTAACCTAAGTTTTGTACATATTTTTTATGCTAGAACTGCTATGCACACCTTTTGTATTAGAGGATTTAAACAGTTATACCTTGAAATTGATCTGCTCTATTACAGATCTTATGTGAGTCATGCAGAGTTGAGAAATCTGTGGAGATATAGGTTTAGTTGGTGTTCTGTACCTTAACTGTGAAATGGCAGAGCATGTATGTAATTTAAAATACAGTGATTAAAAGTTAGCTTAGTATTGGCCCTCCCTGGTGGTGCAGCGGGTTAAAGCACTGCACTGAGAATCTAAAAGTCACTTCCGCATGAGTTCGATTCTCGCCTGCCCCGGAGGTGATCACATGGCGTGGCAGACCTCTCCTGACCCACCCACTGCCCCCCTCAGCAGTGTACTTCAATGGTCTGCCTGTTATGTTCCCCACTCTGTCTCTGGTGAAGCCTCTCACTGCCCCTGAGCCTCTGGCCTGTACCCCAGTTCTGTATGCACAAAATAAATCTTTAAAAAAAAAAAAAGTTAGCTTAGTATTTAAGATCCTTCCCGATTCTACTAACCTTATAGTTCCCTATTTTAAACTGACTCCCAGCCTTTTAGTTCCTCTTATTTTTAAGAGATTTACTCATTTATGTATATAGAACTTGGGTACAGGCCAGAGATGCAGGGGCAGTGAGGGGATTCAGCAGAGACAAGAATGGGGAGCAACGGGCTGGTCAGGAGAGGTCTGCTGCACTTCAACCCTTTATCACCAGGGAGGGCCCTATTCCCTCTTACTTAATTTCTTCTAAAGTAGTTTAAAGCGACAACCATATGAACTCTTTAAAGAAAAACGTGTTTTTAACTTTTTAAGTTACCCAATAAGTATATTTCTAAATTTTTTCCCCCAGTAAACTTAATTTTAAGTGGATATGAGATACTATTTTTAAAAAGTACTGCAATTTTTAAATTATTATTTCTAACTTTTGAAATAATGTGGTTATATAGAAAGTTTTTTTCAAGATCTGGGTAAGTAAGGATTATCATTTGACACCTGCTTAGTGAATTAGAGATCTAATGATGAACTGATAGAAAAATTGAAAACAAGGTATTTTATGTATAAAAGGCCTCTAAGTTTATGCATATTAAAATACATTAGCTTTGATACATTAAAATGATATTTAAAGTTCTATTGCTGTAAATAAAATACAAGGAACCATTTCACTGTTGATAAAATCTTTTTTTTTTCTTCCTTTCTTTCCATAAAGGTAAACAGCCACATACCAGGAATAGGATACCAGATTTTTGGAAATGCAATTTCTCTAATCCTGGGTTTAACACCATTTGTTTTCCGACTATCCCAAGCTACAGACTTAGAACAACTTACAGCACATTCTGCTTCAGAGCTTTATGTGATTGCATTTGGTTCTAATGAAGATGTTTTAGTTCTTTCTATGGTTTTAATAAGTTTTGTTGTTCGTGTGTCTCTTGTGTGGATTTTCTTTTTTTTGCTCTGTGTAGCCGAAAGAACTTATAAACAGGTGGGTGTAATAGAGAATTTTGGACAGAGACTTTTATCTTAGTCATAATCAAAATATTCCTGAATTATTTTAGTGTTTTCTTAAGTCATTTGATCTGCTAATTGTTTTTTTTGTAGTACTTAACCAAATCTGATCATAAAAGTCCATAGTTTGGTTGTTTTCCTTTGATGATCTACTAGCAAAGTAATTCTTATTTTGATCTTTTTTAGCGATTACTTTTTGCAAAACTCTTTGGACATTTAACATCAGCAAGGAGAGCGCGGAAATCTGAGGTTCCTCATTTCCGGTTGAAGAAAGTACAGAATATAAAAATGTGGCTCTCTCTCCGTTCCTATCTTAAGGTAAGATTGGTAATGATTAAAATAATCCTGCAATTTTGGCTATCCATGATAGTTGTTTTCTTACTTTGATGACATAAATAACGGCATACATGATATGTGGACTGTTTAGTATTGTTTTTGGTCTGTGTATAAAAATCCATAATATCTAGTCAATTCTTTACAGTGAAAAAGTTAATGTAAACGATTCAAAATCAGATGTCCTAAAATAATCTTTATAAATCCCACCAACTTTATCCTACCTATTAAAGATTGGTTATCGCTAGCCAGCAGAGGGAGCCCACTGCTTAAAAAGAATTAAAAAGTCACTTCACTGAGGTGATCTAATTAAAAGAATTTAAAAAAAGAGCTTGCAATGAATGCTAAGTCATTCTTTTAGTTTTTTGAAATAATTTTCATAATTTCCTAATGTAGAATAGGGAAGTCATTAGTTTGAGGAAAACAATTCTGTGGATTATTTTTCATATTAATCTCCATATCTTATAAAGTTGCCTCAAAACCTACTCTTTGATATATGTAGATCTTAATGCTTTTTATGTTAATAATTTAAAAAATTTGCACTATTTGTCATAGTTAAGTTTTAAAAAATTCATTGTTCATTAATTTGTAAGCTCAACTTAGTCTCCATTGAAAAGCATTGATTTTTTTTTTTCCCCCACTTACGTGATACTTACATGGTGTGGAAGCCTAAGGACAGTTTTAGCTTAATGAGAATCCATTCTAAAATTCCCCTCATTATCAACCCGAAGTAGGTATCACATTCTGTCATACATTCATTTTTTTATTCACTATTAATGACATATAGGTCCCTACCTGCTTAAACTTCAGTGAGGAAAACTTGTAACCCCAGACCTAGTAGTTATCTAGGTATTTACTTTCTCCTCTTGCACTTCTGACATTCAGTTGATCAACTCCTATCTTGTTTTCAAAATTTATCTTGAATTAATTTAGTTGGTACCTCCCCTTTATGACCTAACTCCGGCCTCTTGTCTTATTCTGAAACACTTTCCTCCCTTTATGCCTGCTTCTAGGCTGCTTCAGGTATTTGAATACACTAGTATCTTTGCTGTTTTATGCTGTTACACATACTGTGTCTTCTGCATAAATATTGATTTGTGCCATCATATCCCTGCACTTAATTCCCAAATGTAAGACTAGTGGACTAAGAAAATCTCCCTAAGGAAGAGATGCTTATATCAAATGCCCTTTTAGTTTTCTCAAAGCATCTTACAGGTGCTCAGAACCTTATGTATCTGGCTGAGAGCATGTTGTCTCACTCCTCTACTAAATCCTGTAAACTTAGGACCATGTGGTTTTTTTTCTCTGTTGTATTTGCAGCACCTCACACGGTGCCTCTATGAGTAAGTGCTCAAGAAAGATTTCTTGATTATTATTAGGTGAAATGAAGCATTTGGATGAATGCTAGGCATTCTATGCTATATAGTGACCATTTTCACTGTGTTGCAAATCCTTGAAATAGCAATACTTTCTAGTTAAAATTCACTTGACAACTTATGTATATTTTCACCAGGGTAAGCTGTGGATCAACACTTTTAAAGTTTTCTTAAAAGAACTTAATGCATACAAGGGCTGGGGTATATAGGTCAGTGTGAAAGGATTCACCAGTGACAGAAAGGGGAGCAGTGGGACTGCTGAGCCATGTGTATCACCTCCCTGGTCAGGGATCAAACTCATGCTGCAGTAGCTACTGTAGCCTCATAGAAACTTAAACTTGCGCCACCAGGGAGGTCACTGGATCAACACTTTAATTGAAAGCTTGAAAATTGGCTGGTAATTAGTAAATCTGTTTAAAAGTGTTTTGCCTTTCCCCTCCCTAGCGTCGAGGTCCTCAACGATCAGTGGATGTAATCGTCTCATCTGCTTTCTTGTTGACTATCTCAGTGGTATTTATCTGTTGTGCCCAGGTGAGTTAACTTATTCTGTATAAAAATAATCAGAACTATAAACATTTTAGCTTTAGAAGGTTTGTAATAATAAAGCAACAATCTAAGTAAGCTGTGTTACATAAGTTTTAAAATTGACTCTTGCAGGTTTTATTTTCCATAAAATAAACCTTATGTATCTGTCATAACTGAGACAAGCATAGTCGATTATTTTTGTTTATAATACATTTGGTTATCTTTATTTACAAGATAAACGGGGGGAAGTAGAGTTATAAAATTGTTTCAGGCTATTTTTCATGAAACTCTTGCCTTATTCATATTTAATCTTAATTTTTTAAAGATTATTTTATTTATGCATGAAAGAATTAGGGTGTAGGTCACACATGAGGGAAGATGAGAGGATTCACCACAAGGAGTGGGAAGCAGAATAAGTGGAGTTACTGAAATACTCTGCTGAGGGAGAAGGGGGGCAGGCTGAATCGAACTCATTGCATAAGTGGCTTTAGATTCTCAGTGCTGTGCTTTTTAACCTGCTGTGCCACCAAGGAGGGCCCTAAAACTTAGTTTTACATGAATTGTCATTGTGATTTAAGAGCCATATGCTCTGACAATTCTTGAGCCTCCCTGGTGGTGCAGAGGTTAAAGTCTCAGCTGCTCTGAGTTCCCTCTCCAGCCAGGGAGCTTAAAACCCACATGTGGTGCTGCAGACTCTCCTGTGTCACCTGCTCATCCCCTCAGCAATGTATTTCAGTCAATCCGCCTGCTTTGCTCTCTGCTCTGTCGCTGGTGAATCCTTTAATACACTCCTGCCCATACAACTCTGGTCCACACCCCACTTCTTGCATGCATAAATAAATCCTCAGTGACAAAATTAGGAAACAGTTTGTCAGAATATAGTTTATGGCATAAAATTTAAGGTGACATACTAACTAGATTACTTGAAAATTCTGCTTTAAAATAGCTAATCATGCTGAGGATAGGGGGAGCCTTAACTTCTTAATATACATAAGTGAGCTTTTTTATATAACATTTATGACAGTGACAAGCAAAAAGAATAAAACTGAAAGAGTAAGTTAATATATTTTCATGCTTTGGCATTCCTAGAGGGTGTGAGCTGAGTTGTTAATCTTAGTCCTAGAATCTTGAGGTTTTTTTTTTTAATGTCCAGTGGAACACATACCTCCATATAAATGCTTGAGACATAAAAGTCTCAGTGAACAGGTAGAATAAGAAAAACAGCCTGCCACCAACTCAAGAAGACAATAAAAATTTGTCTGTCTAAATTCCAGCAATGGGGGGGGATGTCTCTCTGAAGCTTATAGACCTGTCCTTATTACAATAGATGACTGAGAGAGACTAGTGGAGAGTCATAAAATCTTTCAAAATGTGGAACATACACTGTACATGTGATATTACCTTACAGGTGTTTGCTTTATATTAGGTTTCCTTCATCACTTGTCAGCATTTTGATTGAGGGTGCTAAAAAGTACAGACAGGAAAAAGAAGTGGTATAAATTTGAAAAGAAAAGCAGTCAGACTATAATTATCTATATAAAGCAGCCAAGTGACTTTATATTATTTAAAATACGCACTTTTTAGAATAGGGTGAACTAAAATGGATTCATCAACATTTAAAAAAATCAACTTTGTTACTACTGTAAATCAGATATTATCAAACTACTTCTGTAAAGAGCCAGATATGACTTATATAGCATTGCTATTCAGAAAACATTTATCAAGAAAAACAGACATGATAAAAAGTAGATATAAATGAAACATTCTAATTAAGCAGGAAAAATAAAAATAAAATAGTAACAATTTATATATGTAACTATCAACAGACCCAGCAGTTTTTATACATATTAACACAAGCAAACTTTATAATGAAATGATGTTGATATGTGATAACATTATATAATTCTAAAATAAATACAAAATAACATTAGGAAATACATTTAATTGTAAACCTTCATACAAAAAATTAACACAACATTCATTGCCCTTATAGGGAGGTAAGAAAGAATGGGAATAATAATCAAGGAAAGTTTAAAGGGGCTTCAACTGAATATTTTTCAAACATCTGAAAGAAATGTTGCAAAATACAAAATCTGACAAAATTAGTTTGTATGGGTTTAATTACATTGTACTTTATATGCTTAAAATATTAATATTTAATAGTATATAGTAACATTTTAATAGATGTTTAAAAAATACTTTATTAATGCTCAATCTATATGAAGTAAAAATTTTTCTAAAGAACTTGTCTGATCACACTGCTTCCTGTTGCCTCTTTCATACACTTAGTTGCTTCATGTGCATGAGATCTTCCTTGATTGTCACTACAACTGGGAGCTGGTAATCTGGTGCATCTCCTTAACACTTTTTCTACTAAGATTTGTTACCCTTGGATCAGAAACAAGTAAAAAATACAGCAATACCTCAATATTACTTACTGAACAGGTGAGGATGCATGATTATTAATGTTAATTAGCTATGTTACAAATCAGTGTCTATAATCTTCAGTTAATCTAAAATATTTTTGAATTTTACATTATTCAAACTCTATTTTTCTTAAGCCCTATTTGCATTTGATAAGAAGGCAGTGCCATTTATAGAAGGGGTGGGTTCTAAACTATTAGTGGGGATATTTGCTTTAAAGTGTTATCAGCCATACTTGAATAGGCTACAACTTTAATTGACTATTTAATTTGAATTGGGTATTTACTACTTAGGAATTTAACAAGGAAACTGTCAGTGAAAATGACTTAGTCAGGGGGTTGGGGGTAATAGCAAACAAGTAGATATTTTTTCCTATTTTTTTTTTTTTTTTGGTTTTTATACTAAAAGTTTCCTTAATACCAGTTGTATTCATTGTTCTTTCTTAATTGAAAGATAAACCTCTACTTGAAAATGGAGAAGAAACCTAACAAAAAAGAAGAACTGACACTAGTGAATAATGTCTTAAAACTGGCTACTAAACTGCTAAAGGTAAAAGTGAAATGAAAATGGATAGAATGTGCTGTTCTGACATTATGTCTTAGTCTTTTTTATAGTGTCTCCTTGTATTGGGCTTTCATAATTCTCCAAATTATGCCCAAATTATGTTTTAGCACATTTATACCTCCTAGACCTTAAAACAGACTTCAAAGGAAAGAACTGGTAGTAATTTGGGAAGTTACATTTCTTAGAGTAGTCTCATTGAGTTGTTATTTTTGATCAGTCTTCTAGACACCTGGCACTTAAAATAGTCCCACTCTGGATCCTCACTGGTGGCACAGTGGGTTGGGAAGCAGCCACTTCAGTGCGAGTTTGATCCATGGCCCCGGAGGTGACCAAGATGACCTCTCCTGACCCGCCTGCTCCCCTTAGCAGTGTACTTCTCCAATCTGCCTACTCTGCCTCTAGTGAATCCTCTCATTGTTCCTGCACCTCTGGCCTGAGCTCCAGTTCTGTATTCATAAATGAACAAATCTTAAAGAACACCAAAAGTATGATTCATTTAAAAAAAAAAGTCCCACGCTGGTGTCACTGCTCTCTAGTCCGTCTTCCACATTTTGGACCTCGTGGTCCTTCTGCATACACATTTGATAAACCTTTCCCCTAGTTAAGTATCTTTAGTACCTGTCAGTTGGCATAATCTGCCCAGGGAGCCAGCTTTCTAATTTTCCTGCACCGAGACTCTTTATAACAGTGCTTAGCAACCTAAAATCTCAGAGACCTTACTCTGTGGAAAGTACTAATTTCAAAATATACCTCCTTTGTGAGACTCATTTATAGACAGACATGTTTATTTCATGTCTGTTACACTATAAGGTCCTTCAGATCAATTACCGAATCTTAACTTTCTCAGGGCCCAGCATATAAATGTTTGCTTCATTCTATTAATCAATCCATGTATTTGAAAATTAACTCGAAGTAGATATTACATATGTATTAAATATTCAGAAAGTCTGATAAATGTCTAATTCTGTCCTTATAATAAAAAAAAAAAATGTCCTGAAGCCAACCTTGTAGCTACGAGAACAATACTAGTCACTCATTCAGGGCAGAAATTGGAGTTACAAATTTAGGTTACAGGGCCCTTTTCAAAAAAGGCTTTTAAAAATAAAATTTACTTATTGGTGAAGTGTAACCTAGGTTAAGAACTAATTCTTAATGAACCTGAGTTTATGTTTATTTTTTCTCTTCTGCTAGGAGTTGGACAGTCCCTTTAGACTATATGGGCTGACAATGAACCCACTACTGTATAACATCACCCAGGTAGTCATCCTGTCAGCTGTTTCTGGTGTGATCAGTGACTTGCTTGGTTTTAATTTAAAGGTAAGAGCTTGCTTTTCTTTCTTAGTGCTCTATTATAATTTTGTGACTTTTTCTACCTAGCATTCTTTTAAGATCTCACCTGAACAGTAAATGCAATACTTCTGATAATGTTAAAATAAATTCACATTTATTTGCAAAGAATGATAGTACAATGTTAAAACTAGCTCTAATGGTCACAACTTTTTTATTTTTTTTCACTAGTTATGGAAGATTAAGTCATGACAGTTCAGAGAAAAGAAGATGTAGCCTCTTTTCCAGAATAAGACACCAACTAAGCTGCCTGAGAGCAGTCACTGACTGTGCCTCAGGAGTCTCAGCTGGCAAACTGACATGTTTACATCAGACTGTCTTGTGCAATTCTTATATTTATTTTACTTGTTCACTGTTTTTTACAATTTCTTTAGTCTTTATATTTTGTTTTTAAGCATAGATATTCTTAGATGTTGAAAGGGTGATAAAACTGATACACAGATACTTGAGATCCTGGTAATTGTTCAGAAATAATTGACAAAACAACAAATTGTGAGACTAGAAGCCATTGCTAAGCACTATTTCTCCATCAATGCCGTGAACTTGCCTTACTTGAAGAAAACTTCAACTTTGAATAATGTATTGAACTCAGCTAAATGCATTAAGCATTTTCTTCAGTAATCAAGATCCAGTCAGGGTTTCCCTTGAATTATTTTGAAACAATGCCAGGATCTAAACTGATTAAGCTGCAGTTTAAGCACCCTTCAGTATTAATATATATGGTATTACATAATAGGTCAACAAGTGCTCTTTGATGATAAAACTCTTAATAGAGCAATAATTGTAAATGGTTACCATACTGTAAGATATTTTGATAAAAACTAAATAGTAATAATTGTATTTATTTGAAAACACTGGGCTGTTTGCACAGCTCCAACTGTGCATGCTCAAAATGTGCACTTTTTAAAACTGTTACTTTCAATAAGTATCTTTACATGGGATATGTTAAATAGTGTACTAGGGCATGATATGGTATCCTTTTGAGTGGGTTATATATACTCATCTCACAAGTGAAGTGCCTATTGATATTACTAAAGTACATTTTTACTCAAGTAAAATAATTTTCTCCCCATGGTACACTATAGTGTATGCTATTCATACTACACACAAAACAACTTCAGAGTAAGGTGAGACCCAATAAGCTATCCTAATTGCCAGTTATAAAACTTGACAAATTTTCAGAAGCAGCAGCTTCTGAATTTATCCTCTAAACTTAATCTGATAGATGCTCCCGCCCCCTCTTCCATTACATAAGGGCTATTTTAGATGCTTTTAACATGAAAAGTTAACCCACAGATAATTTGCCAAGTATCGAAACAAGAACCTGGCATGTTAGTAAATAGGGCAAATATGATGGTACCTTAACATTGGGTCTTGATTTTAAGTAGTTGTATTTGTACAATCAAGAATATTTTAGGAATTAGATGAAACATGAAATGTTTTTCATGGTTTTTTTTTTTTTAAACTGGGCCTCTAGTTTTTAAAACAGAACTTATTTGAAACAATCTAGAATTTTCTTGGTGTAAGGTGCATCATGTTGAATATCCTCACATTTTTTACCATGTTTTAAAAAATTTAAAAGTAATTAATTGTAAACGATTGCTTTGATTGGTGCAGTTCTGGTACCCAAGTTATAATCCTAAGATCAGGAATGTGTAGAGAATAGAGCCATGTTCATACTAATCACTTTGTTCTTACCATTCCTTTTGATCAGCCTCAATTCAGCCTCATTGTGTAGTGTATTTTCTTTCTGTAGAAAACAACATAAAGTATTATTTGCCTATGTTTCTAATATGTTTAATGATGACCAAAGTGCATTCTGAGTTTTTTCAAGGAATGTATTACTGGAGCTTTAAGAACATACTTATTTTCTCATGTAAAAAATTAGGCTATGTCTGATATGTTTCTTCCTCTATTGTCTAAAATACTGAGGTTGTTTTTAGGAGTTATATTTTATAAACTTTCAAAATAAGGTACATACCTATACAGAACTTATCATTTTGCACAGAATATATTAAATATATTTTGACAGGAAAGTACAGCATGAATTCTGTTATGAATAAGAAAATTATTGTATTGCACCAAAAAAAAACAACTTATTTCAGAATGGAAATATTTTTGAGGAAAGAAGCTAAGTATAAGGATTTAGAAAAATACTTGGTTTGAAGTTCATTTTAATGTGAGTTGGGAGTTGATTTATTAAGGAGTATACCTCTCAACAACTTACTCTGTTGGATTATGTCACTAATAGGAAGAGCAGTAAAGTACTAAATGGAAAAAGTTGTCATTTTAAGCAATTTCAGAACATTAATGGAATCTTATAAAGCAGAAAAATTGACATTGCTGCATTTAAGAATACCATGAATGTGAGAAATTGAGAGCAGTTGTAACATGTCTCATAATATAGAAGAGGCAGCTCAAAGAACTGTGGCAGATGTATGTTACTCTTGTTCCTTTGCCACATGTATTGTATTTGAAAGTTTGGACAGCAAGTTTAAAATAAAATATTCTATGACAGTGTTAAAATTGGAGGTTTCTTCCCCCTTTTCCCCCTTTAATTTTCAAGACATTTTTATGGTTTTATTTCTTTCTACTCCCCTCAAACCTAAGTTATTTTTTAAAATGGCATTTGAAATTCTCAGAACATAAAAGAATATATATAGTCCTTTCATCACCAAAAAGCTATGTGACATCATTAATGTTTATAGACAAGTAGAAAAACACTTTAGCCTGTATTATTAAAACTTACTGTCAGGAGAGGTGATTTTAATCAGTTTTTAAAGATTTATTTATGCATACAGAACTGGGGTACAGTCAGGTGTGGAGTTGGTGACAGGATTCACCAGACACAGAGTTGGGAGCAGAACAGGAAGATCAAAGAAGTACACTGCTGAGGGCAGGTCAGGAGAGCTCTGTAGCAGAGACCATGTGGATCACCTCCAGCTTGGGATGGACTGGCACTGAAGCGGCTGGGACTTCTTGCAGTGCTTAGCTTTAAGACTAATTCAAGTGCACTTTCACATTTACTGTAAGCTTAAAATGGGCTATTTAATGTATTAGCCCAATAGGATCACAAATAATCACTTTAAAAGTTAATTTGAAAACGTATTGAGGCATTGTACATAGAAAGGACAGTTATAATGACCCTTCAGACTTCAACATAGAGCAAGTTGATGAGGTGCCAGTCATAATGCTCTATCATTTGAACCCTAATTCTCAACCTAAGTCTATATGAAGGATTCTCCCATGCTAATATCTTAGGGAGTCACTGGATAGTAAACTGTTGGGAGTTTAACATCTTAACATAGGAGGCATTATCCCCTGTCCCTCCTTACCACCTTCAGAATTGCTGCCCTTATGATAACGAATTTTACAGAATGCTAATGTTAACTGCATTGACCATTATATTCCCAACATATAAACAGTGCCCGATACACAGAAGAATCTCAATTTATTGAATGAATAAAACTTAATAGGTCACCACCAACTAATCTAAAATACTCACTTTACCAGATCAAAAAACTAAAGTTACAAAATAGACGTCATCTCGTAAATTTTCAGACATTGACTTTCATTGCCTAATGTGTCATGAAATAGTTTATATATGCTCTTAATTTGCTTAGTGGTTTCCAGTAGGAGAGTAAATATAATTGTTGTCCTTCCCTCCTATTTGGATGCAGAAACCCCAGCCATCTTCTTACTAACCTGAATATTAGAGATTCTGAAAGATTTAAAACAATCTGTGTTAGCAGTTTGAATTGGAAAATACTTTTCAAAAAAATACTTATTAAGCTAAGAAGTATTTAACCTTCCTGGTTTAATTTTAAACTAGGTGAATATCAGTAAGTAACACATGGAAACAAATGGTCTTTGGGTCCCTCAATAGAGTACAGAGGGGTTTCTGAGACCAGAAATTCTGAAAGCAATAGATGTAAATGAAATGGAGTGATTACTGTTAAGAGTCTTGAATCTAGAAACTGGTGCAGGACATAGGTATCAAAGATGAGCCAATTCATAAACTTAGCAGAAAGATACAAATTTTTTTTAAGCCACAGGTTTTCCCCACCCAAAAGACACAGACACCCCAGGACTAGGCATCAGACATTCCAGAGGACAGTCAAGATAAAGGATTCTAAGATAAGGGCTGGGACACAGACTTAATTCTGTCTTACACTTTAAGGCTGAGTGAGTGAGAAGCCCTACTGAGAACTAACAAATCAGAGACTGGTGGGGTTTTAGAATAAATAAGGAAAGAAGATATATGTTCCCTGAGGCACAACACCACTTTGGAGTCCTTGGTTTACTCCTACAGCCTGGGAGTCCTACTTTATTTCTGTTCCTTTTGTCCTCTATACACTTTTTCTTGTGTCTATCTAAACTAATTTGCCTCTTTTCACTTGCTTGCCTGAGTGTGAGCAAAGTTCCTGCTGCAGCCTCCTCAAACATACCCTAGGTGGTCTGGTGGCTGTGTAAGGGGAAAAGGATGTCCTGAACAAAACCTACCCCCCCCCCACCCTGGACCAAACCTGTGCAGACACCAGAAACTACAAATCCCATCACCACCAAGGGAGGATTGCTGGAACCTAAGGGCAATTAAATAGCCAGGTTTGGTATATAACCAGACATGTGGACCTTGGGGCTCCTCTCTTGGTTTTTTGCTGGCTCTCAGTGTGACCCAGGGATTCCAGGTCAGCGGAACCGGTAAGACTCATTAACCAATATACCTCTTCTTTCTCCCCAAGTTACTCATTTCATTTCCCTTCTTTTGTGAATAAACCTTTTATTATTAACCTTTTGGTGTGTGCCTGCAGTTGAGTCTTATATTACATAGTCCCTTTAAGTGCACGAGTAAGGACCCACAGTCAGGTAACCCATTTCATATTGGTGTTGCTCTGTGATAGCTGGAGCTCAGTGCTGAGAATGCTGCCCAGGAGCTATTCTTGGCTGGGAAACTACACCTGAAATTATGGTATCAAAAACACTAAGGAAAGTTGCGTCTTTCTCCCCCCCCTCCCCCCGAAGTCAAAATAAAAACCAAAGTGAAAAGTAAAGACACCATGACAGACTTGAAGTGAATTTTGGAGTTCAGGATCTATCTTTCTGGAATCCAAAAATCATATGGCTGGACTATACCATTCAAGCAGAGACTAGCAGGTCACACACCTGGGGTGTGGAAAAGAAAACTCCAGTTCTATCATTAATCTCAACATGCTGCTTAGTCCATTAGCACATTGTTTGGATCTCACTTCACTGTCTAATCTTGGCCTCATTCATCACTTTGGGATCCTTACAAAATGGGAGTCAGAACTTTCCTGTTAGCTGAGTCAGACTCCTGACTCAGCTAACAGGAACAAATACAAGCTGAGCTGGTACTGGCTCCAAAGTAGTTAGATTGAGATGTTCAAAATTACATCATGGCTTCACTTTATTTTCGTTAGGCAGCACGGGCAGTGCAAGGGGGCCAGAGGGGCCCCCTGGCCTTGTGGACTACTGATAGTGTCAAGAGGTGGCAGATGTCATGGCAACAGGACTCTGTCCACATTCCTGGTTATGCAGGAGTCATCTGGGTCTGGGGTAGGTGCATTCTGCCTTGGCTGTTCTGAGCTCCTAACTTCCCCCCTTTGCTACCCCTTGGGTATAAATCCCCTCCTGCACACTGGCCCTCCCTTCTCTAAGACCACATGTGTGGGCTCCTTTCTGCAACTCCCTCCCAGGTCCATGCCTGGGAAACTCCTCCAGAACCCAGCTGCTGCTTGCCCCACAGCTTCTTTCTCTCCTCTTCTCTCAGACTATATCTGCATTGCTGGCTAAATACTCGCCATCAGCCTAAGGGTAAGTCCTACCAGATGAAGGAAGTAATAGTAAGGCTTTGCAAGATTGACTCACACAAGTTGGGGTAGAAGGGGATCAGCACAGCCATTGACCCAGCTATAGAAACCAAGGCCTTGGTTGCAAAGCATAGCACCTTGGTGGTTCAACTGGTTAAAGCCCAGTACTATGAAGCTATCCACTGCCACTGCAGCACGAGTTTGATCCCCAGCCAGGGAGCAGACCCACATGGCACAGCAGACCTCTCCTGCCTCATCCGCTGCTCCCCTCAGCAGTGTACTTCGTAGATCTGCCTGTTCTACTCCCCACTGTGTCTCTAGTAAATCCTCTTACCTCCCCCCACCTCTGGCTTGTACTCCAGTTCTTGTATGCATAAAGTAAATCTTTAAAAATATCTTAAGATAAAAGCAGGTAGAGGACTATTGTAGGTTGTGTCTATCACAGATCCAAAGGTGAAAGATAAAGATTGTGCCCCATTCCATTAAAAATCAACAACAAACCTAGGCTCACAAGGAGTGAGCCCCTCCCCAAGAGAAGAGGTCTGTATCAGTGCAGCCTCTGCACTGGCCCTGGGCAGCAGTCCTCTGCCCACTGTGCTTGTGCGGGTGCTCCTTTCACCTGCTCTCTCCCTCTGTGGGGCAGCAGCCGCCTGCATCTTCCGGGGCTTCTCCTCACTGACCTCCCTCAGCAGAGGCAGCTCTCCCAAGGCCACTCACCTAGGACCATGCAGGCCTCTCAGCAAACCTGCCCCTTTGGGGCAGCTCTTCCTGCCCATTTGTGCCTATACAAGTATCCTTTACTCCACTGTCTTTTCCCATAATAAGCCTGTTCTTTAAATACAACAGAGTCTCTATCTTGTGGAGAAACTCGCCTGGAAATTTGCCATGTGCTGCTGACAGGGGAGCTCTGGTAAAACCTTTCCCAGAGTGAACCCAAGGACCCAGCACTAACTCAAAAAACAAAAAAATCACTACCCCAACCCTATCTTCTCCACCCTACTCTCCTCAACCTCGGCGGCAGCACAGATAGGTCCAACTCCGGATTCTCCTGTCTACTCCTTTTATTGACGAAAATTGTGTCACCACGTGGGAGTCCCTCTACCCCAATATTGGGTTGACCCTGGGATCCCTGGCTCATGGAGGGGACCTACTTTTCTACTGTCCTCTGAATGATGCTGATTCTTTATCAGCACCTCTCCATGCTCCACTCTCCCCCTCTTACACCTACCTCACCTGGCATATTGCCATGGGCAACTCTTACTCTATATCAACCCTTCTACTCCTTTGGGCCGTCTTCTTAGGTCCTTGGAGTCTTTGGGTCTCAGAAGATCTTAGACCTAAAGGCTTTCTACTGTTCACACAGCCTGGCTTCAATACAAACTTGACAACAACTCCAAATAACCTAAATACAGGACTTCTAATTTTCAGGTCCTTAATTCAATTTTGCCAGTGCAACTGCAAGTAGTCTGAGATCTCTCTCTCCCCAGCCTTTTGCTTTCTCAACCCTCCTTTCTCAAATTCTGTTCTACCTTCAAAATCCTCTTACTGTTCAACTGTAAACAACCTCATTCCCTTCTCCCCTCACAAAAGAAATCTCCTCCAGAGGACTCCTCACTTGCTGTTAACTCATCAGTCCTGCCCCCCATACCAAAGTCCATAAATCCTGTTCTCCTGTTCCTCTCTCCTGC